TACAAATCAATATACAAAAATCAGTGAGATTTTTATACAACAATAATGAATGTGCTGAGAACCAAATAATAAAAACAATCTCATTCACTAATCTTTACAACAGCAAACAAAACAGCAAAGAACAGAAGACATCTACCACACACTGATTAAGGAAATTGAAGAAGATACAAAATAAATAAGAAACTTTCCATGCTCATGGATCGGAACAATTAGTGCTGGTAATAATACCTTAAGCATATATTCCTTCAGCAATAATACCTTAAGCAATTTACAGATTAAAAGCCATTCCCATTAAAATATGAAAGATATTCCTCACAGAACTAGAGAAGAAAATTCTAAAATTCATATGGAAGCACGAAAGACCCTGAAGAGCTAATGAAATCTTGAGAAAAAAATAAATTCACAAAGGCTGTAAGCATCACAATAACTTATTTCAAGACATACTACAGTACCATAGCAACCAAAACAGCATAGTATTTGTATAAGAATAGATACAATGACCAATGCTACAGAATAGAGACACACTCTCCTTCTCTCTCTCTCTCTCTCTCTCTCTCTCTCTCTTTCTCTGTATGTGTGTGTATACATATATATGTGTATTTATAGATAGATAGATATAGATATATCCATGCATCTATATCTGCTGATTCTTAACAAAGTTTCCAAAAAAGTTTCCAAAAAGGAAAACATTTGGTAAAGGACCACCTCTTCAATAAATGATGCTAAAAATGGATATCCACATACAGATGATTGAATCTTGATTCCTCTTTCCATGTACAAAATTAAATTCAAAATGCACACAGGCTTAAATGTAAAACCTGAAAACTCTAAAACTACTAGGAGAAAATATGGAGAAATAAGAAACTGGTTCAAGCAACAATTTTCTGGAAAGAACCACAAAAGCACAAGAAACAAAAGCAAAAATTGACAAAGTTGATATATTAAATTGAAAAACCTTCTGCACAGCTAAAGAAACAGTCAACAGAATGAGACGAGCCCTGGAATGGGAAAAAGACTTGCCAGCTATGCGTCTCACAAAGGGTTAATACCTAGAATGTATAATGACCTCAAAAAAACTAAAAACAAGTAATCCAATTAAACATTGGACAAATGATTTGTGAACAGACATATCTCAAAGAAGTACAAACAGTCAAAAATACATGAAAAAAAAACCCCACTCAATATCATTAGCCATCAGGGAAATCAAGATGAAAACTACAATGAGATACCATATCACTCCAGTTAGAAGGTCTATTATTAACAATAAACCCTAAAATTAATAAATGTTTGTGACGATGTGAGAGAAAAAGAACACTTACACTCTCTTGGTGGGAATTTAAATTGGTAGGATCATTATAGAGAGCAGAAGTTTTCTCTAAAAACTTAAATTAGATATGCTCTATGACCCAGCTATCCTCCTTCTGGGTACATATCCACAGGAAAAGAAATCAGCATACCAAAGGGATATCTGCATGCCCATGCAGTGTTATTCACAGTAGCTAATATATTGAATGAGAACATATAGTTATCAATAGATGAGGAGATAAAGACAATGTAGTATATTTACACAAGGGAATATTATTCTGCTACAAAGAAGAATTGGCTCTTGACATTTACAGCAAAATGGATAGAACTGGAGGACATTATGTTAAGCAAAATAGGCCAGACACAGAAAGATAAGACCCATATATTCTCTCTCATATCTGGAATATTAAAAAGGGTGACCTGAATGTAGAATAGTGACCAATAGAGGTTGAGAAGGGATATAGGGTGGGTAAATAGAGGTTGGATATGATCATGCTGAGTGTATGCATATATACAAATATCACACTGACTCCCATTAATAAGGGCAACTATTACATGCTAATAAAAAATTTAAATATATATATAATTGTATTTATTAACTATTTTAAAATAAAATTAACTTATTAATCTTTATTTCCTCACACATGAAATTTGTTAGAGAAGCATTCCACAGAATATTTATTTTTTAATATGTGAATTATTGCTATTTTACATAGAAAAGTATCATACTCAAGGTGCTGATTTTCCCAGGTCCCATGAGATTACTGAAGTACTTACGTAAACATTTTGGCGGGTTTGACCACTTTCCATTTCTACATATTACTGTCTTGCTACCCTCAAGTTGATATAAGGATTGGCACTGATATTCAACTGATGGGCCCGTAGGATATACTGGTAATGGGAATGAAGTGAGGTCTCCATTGTCAATAGGTGGAGGAGGCACACATTTTCATGTGGAATCTGGAAAAATATCATTTCATTTATGAGAGAACAAATCAAAATTCAGGATAAAATTAAAGCCAGCACAAACATCACTCTAGATAGCATCAAGATTTCATGATTTCTGGTAACAAATGATTGCTCACAGAAATCTTAATCATAGAAAATGAGAGTTACATTTTAAGCTCTTCTTTTCATCTCACTGAAGGTGCATATAAACCATCAACAAATGTGTCTGCTTTATAGTGATTCTACTAAAAAATGTGTCAATATATAAATGCTGAACAGGTAGATAGTGAGGACAAACTAAAAAAGTTTCTTATTATATAGGACATTACGCAGTATTTATTGTGTCCCTTCTGACTTCTTTTTAATTTTCCTTTTTATTACAAAAGAAATAAAAACTCCTTGAAAAAAGTTCAAAGGAAGTAAATTTGTAGAAAATAATAGGGAAATATTGCCTTCCTAATCTGGACAAGATGAGTAAAAATCATTGTCACCTATTCCTTTTTTTCAGGTTTTGTATGTTGGAGTTTTTTAAAAAATATTGATTTGTTATATATGACAGCAGAATACATTACAATTCATATGACACATATAGAGAATATATTTTTCATATCCCTATATACAAAGTAGAGTCACACCATTCTTGTCTTCATACATGTACTTAGGGTAATGATGTCCATCTCTTTCCACTGTCTTTCCTATCCCCAAGACCCCTCCCTTCCCCTTTTGCTAAGCATTATTTATAATCTTGGACATAATAAATTTTAAATGCCAATATAAGAAGACTCTAGAAGGTACAGAGAATTCACTCTGGCTAGGAACTTCAGGACTCAAGGAATGGCAAATAGGTTGTTATATGAGTTCACTTTTGGGCTCTTGTGTGTTCTAGATGGAGCACTGGAGAAGGTTGGTAATCTCAGAAATGATATCAAGTAGAGATAAATAAGGAAAAGCTCATGCAGAGTCTCATCCCTTTAACCTAAGGACAAGGAAGGGAGCGGCCTTGCTAGTCTAAGAGATCTTTAAAACAATACATAACCTAATCTAGAGAAAATCATAAAAACATCATAAGGCACTGATAACCAGAGACCACCCACATATAGGGGTGGCAGAACAGATACTGTATGCCTGTAGAGGCTGAATGAGAAACCTGGACTTAAATCCAGCATGGCTGTAATGGAGAACTACTGAACAGGAAATTTAAATAAAATGGGGGAGTCTCAAATGTAATACCTAAAATATCAAGTGTAAAATTAAAAATTACTCATCAATTTAAGGATCAGAAACATTAACAAACAAAAAAGATAATAAAAGAGAATACTGATGTGATAAAGATATTGATAGTCAATGTTTCTTAAAAGCTCAGTAGGGTTTAGAACAGATAAATATAACAAATTAAAAACAAAACGTCTCACTGTACAGACTGAACAGTTTGAGGATGACAGAAGGATAAATCCATGCACTTCAAGATATAACAACATAAATTACCCAGTGTGAAAATAGACTGAAAAAAATCAATCAATGAATCAAACTTCAGAGACCTTTAGAGGAAAAGAAAATGTTGGAGAAAGAAGGAAGAAAGGATAATTGAGTTATCAAACAAATGAACAAACTAAGGAGGAAAAAGTCTATTATATTATATATTCTTCCTTTTAGCAATTAAGTATCATTTTCTCGCCCCTGTAATTGCTAAAAGGAAGAATATATAATATAATAGACTTTTTCCTCCTCAGTTTGTTCATTTATGTTTATTTATGTTTGATGTTTGAAAGAAAATTATATCATTTGGTAACAATGTTCACTGTATGAACAGGAAATACTAGAGGGTAAATGGATTTAAATGGAAGCAAGCTTCTCATGTTTTGATCGAAAATGAAATGCCATTACTAGTAGAGTGGTAAGTTGCAAATATATTATGTATATATTGTAATTCCTAAAGCAACATTTTTAAAAAGAAAGGTAGTGGGATAAGCTATCATAGAGATACACTCAAAACCAGGAAGATAAATCAAAATGAAATTCTTTTAAACTGTTCCCTGAAAATAATGGAAGAGATCAGAAACAAGAATGAGAAATAGAGAAAATAAACAAATAAAACAAGAAACAAAAAGCCCAATATTTATTTTAAATATAAATGATCTAAATATACTAGAGGAAAGAGCAAGTAGGGCAAGATAGATACGTAAAGGAGACCTAATTCTGTGGTTTACATAAAACTGACTTCACCATTAGCCAAAGGTAGAATCAAAGTAAAGTGAGAGAAAATAAATTAGGAAAAATTAATTTTTAAAAATAGAAATGGATGATATAATATCTCCATTATTCATTTCCTGAATTCTGAATATTAGAATGCTGATGACCTAATATCCAAACTTATTTTTATAAATATAGTGATTCCCTGGCTGGCCTCAGTCACATATTTTCAAATATACTCTATATACTGAAGATGCCCAAATGTATATTTATATTCTATGATCAGTCTTCAATGACCTATTTTCTGTTTCTCAAAGTAGATATCTCTTGGAGTTATCAAAATGTACTGAGTGTCTTAACATTTAAGATGAGCAATTTTCTCAGATTGTAACTGTTCTATTAATCTGGTTAAATGTGTCTTGAAAAAAATACACCATATTTCTTAGTTCATTTTGCCAGAAAATAAATCTTTAGCAATATCATATTATTTGCATTTGAAAAAAATATAATCCCTAAGAATGACTTGACTTTATTTTTATCAACATATTTTACTCACATTATGTCCTCAAGCAAAGAAAAATTAGAAAATATGATCTTCTATCTTTGCACTGAGGTGGCTCTGTCCAAGTTCCATTTAGACACATCACTTCTACTTCCCCAAATATTTCAAAAGGTTTGATACATTCATAACATACTCTCTCACCAGATGGATACTTAAGCATCTGGTTTGATATTATATTAGCATTTTACACTTTGGGTGGATTCACACAGGAAATATCTGAATAGAAAGAAAAGAAAGTATCTACACCTAGTGTTCATTTTGAGTAGCTAAACAATGAATAAGATTCTGAATACATTTTAAATAGGATTGAAGATTAATAGATACTTTGTCATGAAGAACTTTTCTGATTTTAATAAATTCACATGTAATACAAGGAAAAGAAGATATAGCAATATTTTTTTTTTTGTCAGAGCTAACCTTTCATGCCTTTAAATCTCTTCGCTATCCTTCACTAGAACACTGATAGATATTTTATCCCCTTAAAAGCCACTGAGAATGAAATATTTCCCCTTGAGTTGAGTACAACAAATATTACAAAGTCCATAAGTGCAACATGAATTTTAAAATTCATCAAAAAATAAGAGTAACAAGATTATATAGCATCACTCTTTGGTATACAATTATCTTGCTCTTTAATTAACATTTTAGCCTCTTAAAATAAAAACTGAAAGATGCATCTCTTTAGAGAATAAGTCAAGAATTAAAAACATAGTTTGAAGAATAATTTGTTATTCTTAAAACACAGTTTAAAGATGTTATGTACAACTATAATGCATCAATAAAAGCAAAAAAATTGTTAAATAAATCTTTAAAAAAGAAGCAGATTATCAATTAAAAAACTAAAGATGTGGGAAAGTAACAGAAAAGTACAACTATATTTATATGTTTATATTTATATTTATAGCTTTTTAAATTTATGTATAAGTGCTTTTGGATACTATGATAAACTATGTGTAATTCCTCAGAGAGTTTTAGGTGCATGGTTAGTAATAACAGACTATAGCAATGGTTCCCAAATTGAGGAGTATGTAAAATCCTTTGGGGAACTTGATGAATAATTTCAAGTCATATCTCAAGATTATTTTTTCCAGTAGGCCTAAGGTGACCTCAGGAATTTTCATTTGAATTCATAAAAATCTGTTCAAAATTTGATGCTGCTGGTCTAGGGACCACACTCTGAGAACTCTTTGGTATACATTGAACTGTGAGATTAACCACTATATATTTAATTCCAACCTAAATAATTAGATTATTTCTAATCTTAAACTTACTTTGTCTTGGCCTGAAAATTAACCTATACTCATTTTTAAGAATGGTATAGAAAATTTAATATTTCATAAGACAATATACATAAATTTATAATGCCATCAACATACCTTTGCACATTGGCTTTCCTATCCATTTGCCATTAATACATGTTATAGTATTGGACCCTTCCACTTGGTAAAATTTTGGACATCTGTAAGTCACTTGATCTCCTGACTTATATGATTCTTTCCTTTCTCCTAAAAGCGTGGCATCATCAAAGTTGGGTAAATTAAAACAATCTGTTCCTGAAAGAAAAAAACATGTATTTGTTCACTAAATTAAAAAATATGTAATATTTAATAGTAATATTCTAAAATAATACTTAGCTACCTATAGAACCAATGAGTAATGAATAATATACTTCTTACACCTTGGCAAAATATGATGTTTTGACTTCAATTGAACTGTTCTAAATTTATCAAACATATAAGATAGGAATGATGCTTGAAGAAATATTAGTAGTTCTAATGCTTTAGATCAGATTTTTACATTCAAATTATTTTTTCCCCACACTTGCCACATGTAAATTTATGTATTTCTACTTTTGGCTTCTGCAAATGTGAATTACTTACAATAATTATTTCAAAGTTTTATGAAATATGTATTTTGTAGTGAGATTGGTGATGAACTGAGCATGAGATGGATGAGTAGGGGCCAGTTTTTCTAGGAACAGAGAGAGATAAGAATTCTGAGAATGTATATTAGAGGATGCTAAATGTTTACACAAAATGATGTGACAATGAAACAATTTGGCTCTTACTGTCAAACATTTTTTAATTACTAGGTTATAATTCTCTGCCAGACTCAAGAAACTTCAGGTACCTTGTAAAATTCTAGAATAACAGCTTACTTTTTTATTTGTACCACTTATACTTTGAATGAGGGAATCTATCACACATATTATAAAATTAAATACACTGTACTTATGCATTCTGGTGGGGAAGACCATTTTCCTCCTAAACATTTTATAAATGCAGGTCCATCAATCCCAAAACCTTCAGAACAATTGTAAATAACTTCTTGTCCATATGGGTAACTGTCTAACTCATGAGACACAACACCATTAGGAATGGAAGGTGGAGGTTCACAAGGAAGTCCTAAAAAATAAAATAATGAAAGGATGAATCCATGTTTTACAACTCAGAAATTCAATTTTATAGGTCAATTTTGATATTTCACAGTTTTTGAAAAGAAATAATAATAAATAAGCTATTATAAAGTCACAGAGAATGTGCATAAAGGCTTCTTAAGTCCACCTTTCTCATGTATGTCCACCTCTCAAACTGTAAAAGCATGAGCAAGAAATTGAAATAAAAAATGTTGATGCTTTTAAGAGATCACCAGAGCTTCTCTAATCAACCATGAGTGAAAAACAGAAACATACTCAGAATTAATAACATTGAATAAATTGATGAGATGGATTTACCAAGTATTGTAAGACATCAGAAGGAACACTGTAAGAAAAATATTTTTAAAATATTTAAAATCTTGTTTGCAAAGCAAACACTACAAGTTACATAAATTTAAATTCACTACATGTTATATTCTTTTAAAAAGAAATGCCAAATTAAAAACTCACTCTATAATGAACCAATAAAATTAATAAAAATAGGATTGATTCAATAATGCAATAGTATTTTAATGGCAAAGTATTTAAATGATTAAATACATATGATAATCTATATTATTCTACACCCTGACTTTGACAAAAGCATATTATATTCAATTATTTGTATTCTCAATTATTTAAGTATTTGTATTCTCAAATCAGAATTCGAGTTTTCATGCAGTCCTCACCTATACACTGAGGTGGAGGACTCCATTTGCGCATGTAGCATGTTATCTCATCTTCCTCAGAGGTTGTGAAACCATCTTCACAACTATAATTCAGTTTAGTGCCATGTCCATACTGTCTGGATTCAATTGCTTCTTTCCTTTCTTCTGAAGATCTAGATGGACTAATTCTTCCATGGTCTATGTCAGGTGGTTGAGAACATGAAAGTTTTTCTGTATGAAAAACAGAAATCAAAGGGTCAAAGATAAATAAAATGTTTAAATTAAAACTAAAATCAACCCACTTGAATCAAAGTGTGGAATATGATATGTCAAGAAATTTGTAATGTTTTGAACAACCCACAATAAAAAATTTAAAAAAAAAAACAAACTAAAATCAAATACTGTTTAAGCCTGTCATCAAAACATCTATGCTATCCTCTTGCCCAATATCTCCCTTGATTTGTGTCTCTTATATTATATGAAAAATATTCATAAATAGGAATTTATCTGCTAGTTACATAATATCCCAAAGTGTTGTCCAATTTTGTTGACAGAAATGAAAGATGGTGACTGGTTTATGAACCTAGATCATAACTTACAGTTTTAGGATCAAGTGTAATAGATAGAGAAATAGAAAAGGTCCTCATCTTTTTCATTTACATAAAGCAGAGGGGATTATTAACTTCAACTGAAAGCATGTTATAAAGCAAATTTGACAGTACTGACCAACACAGCGTGGTATTGACTGCCATCTTCCATTTTTGCACACAATTTCTTCTGCTTCCTTAGTCAGATAATTTTCTTTGCAAAGAACAGATACTTTTTCTCCATCCTGATATTTCACTGTGGTTTTCATATCTTCAGCATTGGGAATCTGAGGTGGAGGTGGGCAGAAGTTTATCTCCACTTCTAGAAAATATTAAAATTAGATTTCTTGAATAAAAAATAGTAATTTACATATATTAAAATACTTTACAAAAAATAGAAAATTCAATAACTATGTATCACAAAATGATGATGTAATTATGTTCCATATTTATATATGTTATACTTTTCAATTTGGATGGCAGTTTAATATTACCTATTTTGATGGTCCTCCCATTTCTTCTTTTTTAAGCAAACTTCTTTATTTACAAGAAACTTATTATTTGTAATCCTTAGATAATCTTAACTGATTAATACATTTTTAATCACAAGTATTAAATAAAGTATGCAATGAAGGTGATTTTAGAAATATACATGAACAAATGTATTGGGACTATAATAAAACCCTTTTGAAATCTACCAACAGAAGCTGATTAAAAAGAGTAAAAATTTGCAGTCAGTTAACAAACAATTTGTATTGCTTCTAGATCATTAACCATAATTACAAATAATTTACAGTGTGCCATTTGAAGTTTCAACCTTCCTGAACTTACCATTTAGAAGCACACTCACATTGCCTAGGGGTATATAAATTGAGGGTATATATCCAGTTTAATGACTACACAGTTTAACTGTAATTACACAATTAGTAGGGTATAAAAGACCCCTTTGCAAACTTATATCTCAGTTACCATAAAGCTAAATTTCTCAGATGTATCTTGATGGTTTATAATGTGAAGATGAACTATGTCCCTTTTGACTGGGGGAGGGCTCTGGATGAATCTGAAAGCAATTGGACTTCTGATTTCTTGAGCTTGCTTTCTCCTATTTTACTGTATTTTTTAGTTCATTAAAAGCCTTAGGCAAGTGTACACTAGGAAATACTGTAAATCTTTTCAAATGTGTGTTATGCTGTTAATAGCTCCTGGAGATAGTTTACTGAATAAACTTGATTCATGATTATTATTTACTCCAAGGTTTCTGTTTTTGTTTAAGGCAATATAATCACATTTTATCAATAATGTTTTCTAATTTCTATTCTTAAATATTTTGACATATTTCTCAATGTTTTCATTATATATTTTCATAAATTTATTTTCCTCAATTATTAATAATGTTTAATTATTCTTCCTATTTTCCTTAAGTATGTTCTTTTTTGGCTTCTAGATTGTTTTATATATTGCTTTTATTTTGTTCTTTGTTTTCTAATGTATGTTTTAATGCTATAAGTATATCTGTATTAAATCTGTTCCATAGATTTCAGTTTATACTACAATTACTGTCATTTAATTTAGAGTAATTTTTGGTAGTAAATAATTGATAATGAAGTTGTTTGTTTGTTTTCCAATTTTCCAAATTTGCAAGATGAGCATTCAAGATATCTAGTTAGCACTTTCATTACTTTAATTTTTACTTTTAGTTTAGAGAAAATACTTTAGGAAGTTGATTATTTAAAATTCATCTAGATTTCCTTTATCACACAGATATGATTAGTTTTTTAATGACCTGCCTACCTTAAAAGTAGATAGTGTATACCTTAGGATAAGTGTTTAAAAACTTGGAAATAAATATTTTATAACTATAAAAGGGTTATTTCACAAGTCCAAACAAATGTTGAATATATGTCTAAAAATATCAAAATACCTAAAAAATAGGCAGAAATAAAGAAGAAAAAGGCAAATCCCTAATCCTACATATCAATATTGACACCATTCATGCTATGACTTACTGAAAAAATAGGTAAAGTTTTGAAACAATATGGATAAATTTGAAAACCACTATTCACTTTAACCTTATATTACAACTAGAATATATGCATATTTTTTAAAAAATATTTATTTTTTAGTTGTAGTTGAACACAATATCTTTATTTTATTTATTTATTTTTTTATGTGATGCTGAGCATCGAACCCAGGGCCTCACACACAAGTGCTTTACTGCTGAGCCACAACCCCAGTCCCATATATGCATATTTTTTATGTGAAAATGGAGCTATAAATAAAATAGAGAACATACAGTCGAATTTTTTTTTAAATCATAGTATTGAAATATTGCATAGTTTCCTGAGAACAGAATTAAATAACTACAGTCTGATAAGAATAAGTTATCTACAGAAAATAAATATTTGGAAATGAAAGAGCACACTTCAAAATAATAATTGTTGATCTAAAGGACAAATCACAAGGAAAATCAGAATATATTTCAAAGGGAATACAAATTAAATATAAATTATATAATATATATATATATTATATACATAATTTGAGTTTATAAATAAATACATTTTAAATAAAATAAAATACATAGTTAGATATTCATATACATATTTATATGTCTAACTGTGGGACACAGCTAGGGCAGGTCTTTAAAAAGTGGAAATTTGAAGTTTTTATTTCAAATGTATGGTGATTGAAATTCACACATTAATTACTAACTTAAAATGGTAGCAGTGGTCTATGAATTTAGCTCAGTCATAAAATGCTTGCCTAGTGATGGAGGTGCAAGGCCCTGGATTATATCCCCAACACCATGCACAGAAAAAAATGAATAAAATAAAGGTGAATGGTAATAATAAAATTAAACTCAAAGTCTTTAGAAGGAAGAAAACAATAAACAGAAAACTGACAAAATTAAAAAGAGAGGAGAGAAATTTAGCAAAGCTTAAATTTGAAACTTTAAAAATCTAAATCTGGGGCTCAGGGCCGCGGAGCCCGCGGAGGCTGCTTCTTGGACCCTGCTACTATCAGAGCATACACCAAGCACTAAGAAGCCGAATTCCGGCTCCCGGAACTGAGCCCGCGGGGGCTGCTTCTTGGAGCTTACACTTATAGGAGCTTACACCGAGCACGGAGCGGCCGAGTTCCGGCTCCCGGAACTTCCCTGGACCGGGGCTAGGAGCCCGCGGAAACTGTGTCTCGGTCCGGGTCCTGCTGAGGGCTGGTCAGGACTCACCCATTGCTTGGGTTGCCCGGCAAGGGGAACGAAATGCTGCCATTCGCATAGGATACCAACATGGCAGAGATCTGATGTCAGCAGAAAGCGGTGGAGGAGAGATCTTCATCAATACCAGCGGTGACATAAGCAGTTGGTCTCCTGGTAAGGGGGGTGAGGCTCAGTCACCCGAGTCTCCTCAATTTGTCCTCGAGCCAGAGGGAAGGAGCCGGGCCGCCGCCAGCCCCCGGAGCAGGCCCAGCGGCTCGCCAGCGTGGTGACCGCGTGACCCCAATTGGAGAGGGGGCGGAGCGGAGCCGCCACCCACACCCGCCAGGTGGGCAGACCCACGACCCAGTAGTACATGGGCGTGGTAGGAGGGGCAGGGCAGAGCCGCCCTTCGCGCTTGCAAGGTAAACAGACCTGTGACAGCCTGGCGGGTCAGGCCCAGTGGCCTGCCAGTGTGGTACACACGTCACCCCAACTCGAGTAGGGGCAGAGCAGATCCTTATCCCACGCCCGGATCAGGCCCTGCCGGTGTGGTGGTCACGTGACCCCAATTGGAGTGGGGGCGGAGCGGAACCGCCACCCGTGCCCGCAGGGTGAGCAGACCAGTGGTCAACCTGCAGATCAGGCCCAGGGGTCCGCAGGCGTGGTAGGAGGGGCAGGGCAGATCCGCCGCCCGCGCCTTCAAGGTAGGCAGACCTACAACAGACCGGCGGATCAGGCCCAGGACCTGCCGGCGTGGTACAAACACCACCCTAATTGGAGTAGTGACAGAGCAGAGTCGCCTCCCTTGCCAGGAACAGACCCAGCGTCCTGCAGGCGGGGTAGTCACGACACCCCAATTGGAGTAGGGGCAAAGCAGAGCCGCCACCCGTGCCCGAAAGGTGGGCAGATCTGCGACCGACCAGCGGGACAGGCCCAGTGGCCTGCTGGTACGACAGACACGTCACCCCAATTGGAGTAGGGGCAGAACAGAGCCGCCACCAGCTCCCAGAACAGGCCCAGTGACCTGCCGGCGTGGTAGCCACGACACCCCAATTGGAATAAGGAGAGAGCAGAGCCGCCGCCCGCACCTGCAGGAAAGATACGCAAGCAGTATGAAAAGACAAGGAAAGAAAGGACCACAAGCAATGCAGGTCAACGCAACTTTAGAAGAGGTAACAGCTGCAGCAGATGGAATGTCAGATAAAGAATTCAGGATATACATGCTTCAGATGATCTGGAGTATCAAGGAAGACATTAAACAGCAAAATCAGACAATGAAAGATCACTTCGACAACGAATTACGCAAACAAATCCAGGAAGCAAAGGATCAACTATACAGGGAGATAGAGGTTATAAAAAACAAGCAATCAGAAATCCTAGAAATGCAGGAAGCAATAAACCAACTTAAAAACTCAATGGAGAATACTACCAACAGAGTAGAACACTTAGAAGATAGAACATCAGACAATGAAGACAAAGTATTTCAACTGGAAAAGAACATAGACAGCTCAGCAAGACTGTTAAGAAACCATGAGCAGAACATCCAAGAAATATGGGATAACATTAAGAGACCAAACTTAAGAGTCATTGGGATACAGGAAGGTACAGAGCTCCAAACCAAAGGAATGAGCAGTCTATTCAATGAAATAATACAAGAAAACTTCCCAGACTTGAAGAATGAGACAGAATCCCAAATCCTAGAAGCCTACAGGACGCCGAATGTGCAAAATCATAAGAGATCCACACCTAGACAGATTATAATGAAGATGCCCAACATACAGAATAAGGAGAGAATTTTAAAAGCTACAAGAGAAAGGAAGCAGATTACATTTAGGGGCAAGCCAATCAGGATAACAGCTGATCTTTCAACACAGACTCTGAAAGCTAGAAGATCCTGGAATAACATATTTCAAACACTGAAAGAAAATGGGTTCCAACCAAGAATTGTGTATCCAGCGAAATTAAGCTTCAGGATGGAGAATGAAATTAAAACCTTCCACGATAAACAAAAGTTTAAAGAATTCGCAGCTAGAAAACCATCTCTTCAAAACATCCTCGCCAAAGTATTACAGGAAGAGGAAATGGAAAATAACAATGAAAACCAACAGTGGGAGGTAGGACAG